TATTAGTAATACCATATGCATTTGGGGCTCAAGTTCTATTTAATGATAGCAGACAAGGCAGTAGTAATAGAATACAGAATGCCAGGGTAGACTGACAATAATAAAGAAAAAACTGTCATATGAAATAAAGTCTTCCTGTCTCTCCCTTTTAGGCTTTACAGTAAGCTTACAAAGCAGGGGGTTGGTAGAGAAAATTATTAATTTTTTTCAAGATATAGACGTTTACTCCTATAAAGGTGCATTTCTCACATTAGTTAGTTAATACCCCCTTTTTCTTCTAACCCTCCTTTCCTCACCAGCCATTTGTTTTCTATCCTTATGCTGAATATTGCCTGCTTGCCCCTCTGGATAACCATCTTCCACCCTGCTGTTTCCTAAGAAAACCACTTATATGGATCCCATCAGTGGGCTCTTGTGGTCTTTAACCTTTTGTTGTCTTTGGCCAATGAGAAGCACCGGTAGGAGGCTGGTGGGAAGTAGGAGTGATGAGCAGCGTCAAAAGCTGCAGGTGCTGCCAGGTGGCTTCTCCATATAGCTATATGCTCTGCTCGTGCCAGTGACCGCTCCCTTTCCTTGTCCCTTAGGCTTAGGGATGATAACATCTCCCAACTTGCTACTCACACTACCTCATCCATTCTTGGTTTTCTTAAACCTTAACCACACCTTTGTATATAATTCCTTTATTAAACTTTCCTCAATTACCCAACTTGGGTATGCTATTTATTGCCAAGACCCTAACTAATACAATTCTCTACCTCCATTATCTTTGGAATGCCTCTTTCCAAAGCTACTAAAGCCGTTAAAGGAAAACTGCCAGGTTAAATGGCAGTGTCTACCTTGATTTCTCTCTGCAGCACTGATTACCTATTCTTTCTTCATATTCCTACTGCACTCAATAGACACTGTGATGACTTTTTGGTTTCCTCTTCCCATTATTGCTCTATGAATATGGATAGGTAATCCCTCAAAGGTTCTTAACTTTCAACTTCTCTCTCCATATTTTTTCTACCAGGAAGCCTACTCAATCCCACAACATATAATCACTATGTTGATGGCTTCCCAATAGGTCTTTCTAATTCTAAACTCTTTTACTTATACTCTAGTGCTATATTTCCAACCACTATTTTTATTTAAATATCCCTCTATCACATCAACTCCAAGTACAAAATCATTATCATAGCACAGGAAAATAGTATTTCTCTCTAGCATTCTTACTTCCATTAATTGTACCACCATTTTCTAAGTTCATTCTAACACCCAATTCATTTCCCAGTAATATAATTATTCCTTCTTAAGTGGCTTTCATCTCTCTTCCTTCTTCATTATTAATGCTGCTAAATTGGTTTAGGATTATCTTCAAGTTTGGTAATTGTATTAACGTCCAAACTGGTATTTCCCATAGTACCGAGCACACAGTCTTGATCATTTTGCATCTCAATATTTGTTGAGTTAGTGGATCAAGACAAATTATAAAGGGATTAGATATATTTTCTATATAAAAAGATAATTAAGGGAAATATGTAGTATATAAGTTTGAAGAAACAAATATGGAAAAAAATACAATGCTCGTACTTACTAGTAATCAAAGTATTGCTTGTATGTCAGGTATTATACTACATACATATATACGTAAGCTCATTTAATTAAAAAAAGAAAAACTTGGGCCGGCCGAGTGGAGTGATGGTTAAGAGCTGGCTTGGGATGCCAGAGGGCCCCGGTTCGGATCCCTCATATGAGAGCCAGTGACACTGCTCTCTACAGCTAAGATGCTGAACAGCTCAACCTGGAGCTGGGTTGCGACGGTGTTGGCTGCAACCCCTGCGGCAGTGGGTTGCCATGGACTACCGTGTGTAGCCAGCAGTCAGCGTGAGCGGCCCTCAAGCCTCCATGAGCGGCTGTCCAGAAGCCAGCCACTGATCTGCCTCGCCCGGGAAGAGTGCAATGATGGTGCCAACTTGGGCCAGTGAAGCAACGTCCTCTACAACTAGACTGAAGAACAAAAAGTCAGCAACTTGTCTGTTCCCCTTCCCCCAATTCCCCAATAAAAATCTTAAAAAAAAAAAGAAAAACGTGTAGGGGAGGTATTAATACTCACATATCGCCAAGGAGTCAACAGAGTTTTAGGGAATTAAGTTCAAGATCACACAACTAGAAAGTGGAGGATTCTAAACTGAAAAAAGTATGCTTGTCTATGTTATATACACAATGTGTTTAATTGAACACACACAACGAACCTCAACTTTGTATTTATCACCAAGCTTTGAGCAAAAGAATGTTTGGCTTATATAAATTTTACTAAGTTCTATCTAAGACAAATTAATTACTGGTATTAGATCTCCCTTCCAAACTCTCTGCCTTTTCTGACTTAATAGCTTTAGGTTGAAAACTGGACGCATCACGAAGAAAAAAAGGCAGCATGATGGTAGAAACAGTGTAAGAGGGCTGAATTCTAATTCAAGACTGGTGCTGCTTGCTCTGAAGGTGTTTTTAGAATTAAACGGGAAACATGAATTGCCTGAAAATCAAATTAAAACCGTGAGTTCTCCAGAAAGAACACTAAGCAAGGAAACATTGGGACCCACAGTAACTAAGTTGGGCTTTTACTAATGCATCAGTCCCCAGATAAACCAACCCTGAGTGACAGCAACTTGCCTTGGAACCAGGGAACAGGTGAATGGGAGGATAGCCTTTGGTATCTATTGGTTCATAACCCTGATTAAATAGGATACTGTTCCGTCCCCCCACCGCTCATTTTAATGTGCTTAATAGCAGGTGTTTTCAATTCATTTAGTTGGACTATAGTGGAAAAACTAGGGAAGATATACTAGTTTAAAAGTCATTCTACATCATTGGCAGGATGTTTAAACTTATACATGCCCCACTGATGAATTGAGACATTATTGATGAGAATGTATTGTGAACATGAAGGGCAGACAAAGATTGAGAACCACAGATATAGAGTAATGGTGACTAGGATAGGATATAAAATAATTTTTCACTGAATCTTCATGAAATAAAATGACTCATGGTAGACAACAAATAGATATATTTTCCCAAAATGAAGAGCATTATTCATGGTTTTCAAGAACATTACAAATGCCATTAACATATTTTAAAAAATATGTCAATGATAAATACATGATGCTCTTAAGTATAGCAGAAAGCCCTCTTAGCTTAGTATTTTCTGCTTGGTAATCTCAAAACAGGTACTAAATCTGTAGAACTCCATTCCCTTTCACTCCAGGTCATACTATTTTTTTAATTAAAAATGTCAATTGTCTTTTTAAAGCAAGGATATTTAAACTTTTATATCATGCACCTTATGAATAAAAAATGTTTTAAGAACACTCTCAATATATATATATGTGCTCATTTGTACATTATAACCAAGCAGTGCTATATTAATATATAATAAATATATATAAAGCTTATACAAAAAGAGAAATTACAAAGGATGGGAAAGAGATGGAACAAATAAAATTTAAAAAATATTTTAATTACTAATGGTACCATTACTTTTGGCTCAATTAAAAAAAACTGAAAAACCTTATCAAGAATTGTGATGTAGATTTGAGGGTCTGATTCTAAGTTCATTTTCAACAGTTGGTCCCACTGGCTAAAAAGATTTCACACATATATGTAGAGCCACTGGAAAAACTGCACTATTAGCAATGCCTACTAAATCAAACTGCTTATTTTTAATGTAATTTACTAATTATGCTAAAGTTTAAATTGAAATTCTGGTAGTAAAGTTGTATCTTTCTTAATCTTCTTGAAAACTTATTAAGAAGTGCTGCACTGAAATGTTTTTAATAGCTTAAAAAAACACCTACACATAAATTAAGAAAGGCTTTCAAAACAGGTTAGAAAATTCTGTTTTCAAGTTTTTTAATTATGTAGATACAACACAGTTGGGTGATATATTTACATCATTTTTTGGCAACAAAATAAAAAAACAGTGGACATATTCTAAAAATCTACTTTTAAAATGTCATCTTCATTTTTAAAAGATTCTTTTAAAACTGTTACTTCTTCATTCACTCTAAAATATGTAACTGTTACCTATAAGAATCTGATTATTTCTTTCCAAAAAAAGTACCTACATATAAGTAATAGTCATTTGTCAACAAAGAACTATCAGCAAATTTTGAACTCTTATTTTCATAAAAAGCACTAAGTATGACAATTCCTGAAAATATTAATTCATGAAATAGACAATCTCTTTATACTATAGATCATTCCTTCTGATTATCAACAATGATATTTATTAAGGTTCTACCATTTATGATAATGTTCATAAATTTACTAATGTGGATACATGTAAAGCGCAATATGCCACACATGCTGAAAGTGAACAGATGAGTGAGTTTGTCACTGTCAATCCCTCCATACTCAAACTCCCCTTCTTCCGCAGGAAACACCTTGGGCTCAGAAATGACTTGAACAGACTGACACATGGACGATGAGGTGCCAGCATCAATGTGAGTAGCAACTGTTAATAGATATTAATTTGTTTTTTCTTAAATGAATATTACTATTTTCACAAATTAAAATTCTTTAGTGTTGAGATTATTTGAGAAAATTATTTTCATTACCAGTTTGAAGAAATATAGATGTTTTTTAAAATAAGTAGCAATATTTTGATTAACATTTATGCAAATTATTTTCTGATAAACCATCACTGATATTGACTATGGAAATACATCCATTCCAGTATTAACATAAAACAATGTTAAGTTACAATGTATTTCAAATGATCAGACTGTAGCCACATTTTATTGCTTTATTGAAGAACATCGGTAAAGTACAATAAAACACAGGTAATTATTAGTAACAAGATTTAAATCAGCTTTAAAGCAGAACTGATGAATTCAAATACATGCTAGGAGTCCTTTATAAAATTACTTTTCTCTTTAATTTTCCTGAAAAAATTAACAGTCTGAAGAGCAGCTAGCTACTCAATGCCAAGTCTGGCACTTGATTTCAGGTGTGTGCCTTACCTTTGCTCCATGCTTATGCAGAACTTCCATGACATCATTATGAGCTCTTTCTGCTGCAACATGCAGAGGAGTCATGAAACTATGGAGAGGAGGAAAGGAAAAGGTAATTTCCTAACTGTTATTACATTTCCCTTTTAAGAATTAAACAACTCCTTCTGTAACTACACTTACTCTTTATTTTTTTCATTAACATTTGCTCCTTTTCTAAGTAACAATTCTGTTACTTGTTTTCGTTTGGGATGCAGGGAGGCGACAGCACAATGCTGCAAAATAAATAAAAATAAGTTAAAATAAACTATTTAAAAGTAGATTTCTGAATTAAATAGCATATGCTGACTATTTAGAACAGTATCATTTCAAAATGCACTTATATATTTTACATTATGGAGATGATCAAAATTTCTCCCAAGTAAGCTGGAAGTATAAAACATAAGCCTTCAGAGCAAGATAAAATTATGCTCCTAGTTAAGCATTAAGTGAGGCTTTTTTCTTTTTCTTTAGCCAATAAACAATTACCCAGTATATATTTATTTGAAGATATCAGAATACTGCCTCGCCAAAGCTACAAAAATCTATATCTGGATTACTCAATTCTTCATTAGGCTATCAGCCACCTAAATCATACTTCTTAAACTCTTCCACAGAGGTACTCCTAGTACTACAGAAGAAAAAGCCAAATGCGTAGGGAGAGGTAACAGACCTCAAGAAGCTTAATGGGAAAAGTATTCAGAAATTTTATATTTTATCCTATTAACGAGGTGTGATCAAAATATATGGTGAATGTTTAAATTAAATTAAAAAGTACTACAGTAAAAGATACAGTACCATTAACCCCCCTCAAAATACTGCTTCTCATTTCGAACATGCTTATATCATCATTCTTGTCACTTTCTGAAGTGGTTCTGGAAGTCCTCTTTCGTGAGTGTCTTTAGTTGCACTGTCTTGGCTGCCTTGATGTCCTGAATTGATTCAAAATGTTTACCTTCATGGTCATTTTGACTTTGAGGAAGAGCCAGAAGTCGCATGGTGCCAGATCTGGTGAATAAGGTGGATGAAGACACACTGTAATGTTTTTATTTGACAGACATTGACATACCAGAAATGATGTGTGACATGGAGTCTTTTCATTGTGATCAGAAAATATGATGAGTGCTGCCGCCGAGCGCCATGCAACAGAAAGGCAGGGATCTTCAATATGGGAAGCAGTGCTTCGAACCTTAATAACAGTGTGTGACAAGTTTCAACTTGTTCGGTACAGTCAGTTGGGTGTGAGCTACAGTTGAGAGAAGGTGTGTTTTAAAGTGTGCCATATCATCCTTCCATCATGACAATGCTCCATGTCACACATCACTTCTGGTATGGCAATTTCTGTCAAATAAAAACATTACGGTGTGTCATCATCCACCTTATTCACCAGATCTGGCACCATGCAACTTCTGCCTCTTCCTCAAAGTTAAAATGATTCAGGACATCGAGGAAGCCACGGCAATGCAAATAAAGACACTCACAAAAGAGGACTCCCAGAACTGCTTCAGAAAGTGGCAAGAATGATGGGATGTCTTCAAAACAAAGCAAGACGGAGTATTTTGAGGGGGGTTAATGGCAATGTGTCTTTTACTGTAATAATTTTTAAAATTTAAACATGCAAAGTACTGTTTGATCACACCTCATATACAACTTTTGTATCCAACTTCATATTATATTAATGTTTGTATTAAAATTTAAAAAGTAAAAAACTATTTACTAATGAATAAAATGAATGCTCCAAAAATTCAGGTCAAGTTTATTCTGGGCTTCAGTATCTCCTGGAATAATGCTGTGTAGCTGGAATGTATATGAACCCCAAGTTTAAGGCCACATACTTAAGTGTACATATAGTTAACCCATTTCAGTTTGGTAACTCTTTTAATATTGTTTTCAGCATGTATTGACTACAGTTTGACTTTTTTGTGCCAGATATATGACAGTGTTAACTGAAGCATATTTAGAAGTTTGTGATAGAGGCATTACAAATATTTATATTCTGAATTCAGGATTAATCTAACCAGCTCTATACCTGAAAGTTAATGTGATCAGTGACAATGGAAATAAACTAAATTTTCTGAAAATACATTAGATGAAAAAACATGAATAGCTTTAAAGATAATTTATACAATCTGGAACAAAAAATTCATAGTCTTAGCCATTTTTCTATAATAAATGTAATAATTAATTGAATACAATTGCCCAAAAGGATGATGCAAGTATCTTTGAAAAGACTTTAATCTTCTATAGAAAACAAATATAGCATTTATCTAGCAGTCCCAAGAAAAAAAAATTCTAGAGAGAAAATCACATTTTGTACTTTATGAAAGCATTGGCTATAAAGGTAGATTTGTTATAATATGGTTGGATAAAGACAAAAGTAAAAATAATTCCCAAATCAAGATTGAGCAAAAGCATTTTCTCACCCATGAAAGCAATAACCTCCCGAACAAATGTAAAAATCAATACAACCAACATTAAAATGCCAATTCCTGGCACTGCAGATACTAAAGTTACTTTAAGGTTTCTGAAATGAAAATCCTACTTGTATTCACACTACTATTACAGACCCATGGAACAGGTTAACAGTGAAATCTTACCAGTGCAGTTTCATGTGACTGTGGTTGCTTGAAATTAATTATTTCCAAGGCAAGTGTTTTTTTAACTTTGGCTAGGTCAGCTTCTCTGGCTGCTTGTAGTAAAGAATGACCTTTAAATTCATCTGTTAATGAAATAACGGTTGAGATTTAAACATTTAAAATCTATAAAAATCATTAGAATTGTCTACCTTATAATTATAAAGTAGAAAAATTACTAATTTTAAATTGTCCTGCATTTTAGACATAGAAGGAGCATGAAGATATGATGATAAAGGTGCAGAGGATGAGGGTGTAAGTTAAAGAAAAACTCTGAAATCTGTATGCTCTGAAATAAGACTGTTTTAAGAGTTCATAAAGATACACATACAAAGATACTTACTCCAGCAAAGTTTTAAAACAAGCAACCTAACTGTCCACCAAATGGAAACCAGTTAAATAATTTGTGAACACTTACACACTAGAATACTTAACAGCTCTTAAAGAAAAAATATAAATCTATATATATGACAGGAGAATATTTATCATTTGATGAAAATTCAAGTAGCAAAGGAGGAAGGATAGGTTGACTCAATTTTTGGTATTGTTACGACTACTATTGCCACCACAACAAAATGTAAGTGATTGTATAAAAAAGACATTTTAGAGAAATATTCACCAAAATATTAATAGTGCTTATGTCTTCACACAGAGAAAGAAAGAAAACTGAATTAATGAAGGAAGTGCCAGAATTTAAAATATTTTCAAGGAACAATTAATATTTTATTTATTATTTGTATACGAGTGAGACATTTTTAAAAGGCATTTCTAAATTAATTGCATAAATCAGAATCCAATTATCATTTATTAAAAACATATAGTCTTATTTCTATTTTACAAGTTTGGTGATATGACAACTTACTAACAAAAAAGCTGAAAATTGTTTTAAAAAGAAGCAAATGATGTGTGACCTAATATATTATGTCACAATTCCAGGACCTCTCACGTTCAGGCCTTTGTATCTGCCTGGTACTGAATTTTTTCTCTTTTCTTTTCTCTACTCTCCTTTGAGGGCCCCATCTAACTTCCCTCTTTCTCTCAAAAGACACACAGAGAGAATCTATTGAAAGGGAGAAAATATTTTCAAATGATATATCCAATAAGGAGTTAATATCCAAAATATATAAAGAACTCATACAACTGAACATCCAAAAAACAATCCAATTAAAAAATGGGAAGAGGACCTAAATGGGCATTTCTCCAAAGAAGATATACGGATGGCCAACAGTCATATAAAAAGGTGTTCAGTATCACTAATCACCAGAGAAATGCAAATCAAATTAGAATGGCTATTATGAAAAAAATCAACAAATAAAAAGTGCTGACAAGGATGTAGAGAAAAGGGAATCCTCGTGCACTGTTGGTGGGACTGCAAGTTGGTGCAGCTACTACGAAAACAGTATGGAGGTACCTCAAAAAGTTAAAAATAGAACAACCATACAATCCAGCAATTCCACTTCCTGGTATTTATCCAAGGAAAACGAAAACACTAATTCAAATAAATATATGCATCCTTATGTTCATTGCTGTACTATTTACAATACAAAAGCAAACTAGTTGTTTAACGGCAGATCAATGGATAAAGATGTGAAGATGTCACACACACACACACACACACACACACACACACACACACACACAGGACTATTACTCAGCCATAAAAAAAGAAATTTTCCTATTTGCAACAAAATAGATGGATGGAGAGGGTATTATACTAAGTAAAATAAGTCAGATAGAGAAAGACAAATATTGTATGATTTCACTTATATGTGGAATCTAAAAAAAACCCCACACAAATGAACAAATAATACAAAACAGAAACAGACTCACAGATACAGGGAACAAAGTAAAGTGATGAGTGCCAGTGGGGAGAGGGATGGGAGAATGCATGAAAAAGCTGAACAGAAATAAGAGATACAAACTTCCAGTTATAAAATAAGTAAGTCATGGGAATGTACTGTATACCATAGGGAAAAATAGTCAATAATATCGTAATAACTTTGTATGGTGATAATTGGTTACTAGACTTACAGTGGTGATCACATTGTAAGGTATATAAATGTTTAATCACTATGTTGTATACCTGAAACTACTATAATATTGTATGCCAACAATACTTCAATTAAAAAAAGACCAGAAAGGGGCAGGCTGAGTGGCGCGATGGTTAAGAACTCGCTTGGGATGCCAGAGAGCCCCGGTTCGGATCCCACATATGAGGGCCAGTGACACTGCCCTCCACAGCTAAGATGCTGAACGACAGCTCAACCTGGAGCTGGGTT